AACCATAGCAGACTCCATGAGTTTTCACAAATTCCAAAGCATAGTTAATGTTATTTATTCATCTTGAGGATTCTGCAACATATTCACAGTGAAAATTCAAATGATACAACTGTGCATAATAAAGTCAAGATAACAGTTTTTCCACAGGAATTCTACTTTTGGTTGGAACTTTATATCCTTGTCATTGAATGTGAGCTGCCCTAGAAGAGTGTGCTTTCAAGCTAGGTGACTCTGAAGCAGAGGTGTATTATGAAGGGACTGAGTAACAGAAGCTACCTACTGACCCTGCTCCCCACAGGCAGAAAGTAATCTCCCTGATTAGTCTAGTACCCACCTGGCACTATACATGGTAATTACAATATTATTGACTATATTCCCTATATTCCCTTTGCTGTACTTTATAATCCTGCCATAATATTTTCATTACTTTAAAATCTTGAACCCATTAGCAGTAACCTGCCAATCTTCCTCATCTCCCTCAGCCTAGGGAACTATCAATCTACTTCTGTCTCTCTAGATTAGCCTATTTTGCACATTTTATACAAATGGAATCATACGACATGTAGCCTTTTGTAACACATACTGGCATTTTGTTCCTTTTTATTGCTAAATAATATTCCATTGTATAAATATGCTACTTTTTGTTTACCCATACATCAGTTTATGGACATTTGGATTGTTTCCACTTTTTGGCTATTATGGATAATGCTATTATAAACATTCATGTATAAATTTTGGGGTAAACATGTTGTTTTCATTTCTCTTGGGGACATATCTAGGAGTTCGATTGCTGGGTCACATAAACTGCTGGGTCATAGGATAATTTTATGTATACACTTTTGAGGAACTACCAAATTGTTTTCCAAAGTAGCTGCACCATTTTACACTCTGCCAGCAGTGTATGAAGGTTCCAATACTATCCTTTTCAACATTTGACATTATCTGTCTTTTTGGTTACAGCTATCCTAGTGGCTATGAAGTAGTATCTCACTGTGGTTTTGATTTGCATTTCACTGATGGCTAATGGTGTTGAGCATCTCTGTATATGTTTGTTGGCCATTTGTGTATCATCTTTACAGAACTGCCTAGTCAGATCTTTTTTTCATTCTTAAGTTGTTTTGCTAGTTATAGGACTCTTAGCTGAGTTTTTAGTTCAGCACTTTGAATATATCATTCCACTGTTTTCTGCCTCCACTATTTCTGGTGAGAAGTCTACTGTTAATCTTGTTTGGGTTCTCTTGTACATGTGTAATTTTTATTTTGTAGCTTTCAAGATTTTCTTCTGGCCTTTGGCTTCAGCATTTTTACTATAATATTTCTATGTATAGATTACTTTGTGTTTATCTTACAAATTCACTGAGTTAATTTCAATTAATCGAGTTTCTTGGGTGGGTTGATTAATGTTTCTCATTAAATCTGACTTTTAGCTATTATCTTGTCAAAAAGATTTCTCTTCCTTTCTCTCTCTTCATTCTAGTACTCCCATCGCATGTATGTTGACATACTTAATGAGGTCTCATACTTGTCCAAGGTTCTGTTCCATTTTCTTTATCTTATTTTCTTTCTGTTCTTCAAATGGCATACTTTCTATTGATTTATTTTCAAGTTCATTAATTCTTTCTTCTGCCAGTTCAAATCTTCTGTTGAGTCCCTCTAAAGTATTTTTAAAAATTTCAATTAATGTACTTTTTCAATTTCCATTTGGTTCTTTTTTTACATATAATTCCTATCTATTTAACGATATTCTCTATTTTATGAGACATTGTCATCATACCTTTCTTCTTTTATTTTCCTTTTTAAAAATTGAAGTGAATCTACAGCCATGCCACCCTGAACAAGACCGATCCTGTCTGATCTTGGAAGCTAAGCAGGGTCGGACCTGGTTAGTACTTGGATGGGAGACCACCTAGGAAGACAAGGTGCTGTAGGCGTAAAAAACGAAAAATAAGGGATTGTATGCTGACAAGGTCCTTGCAATCTGTGAGGTTAACCAAGGGTTGCCTCGCCTAAAAAATAAAAAATTAAAAATTAAAATTGAGGTGAAAATCACATAACATAAAATTAATCATTTAAAGTGTATAATTCAGTGGCATTTTGTACATTCACAATATTGTACAACAACCACCCCTATCTAGTACATTTTCATTAGCCCAAAAGAAAACTGTACCAATTAAAGAGTCAGTCCACATTCCTTTCTTCCACTAGTACCTGGCACTACCAACGTGCTTTCCGTTGCTATAGACTTATTTATTTCAGATATTTCATATAAATAAATTCATACGATATGTAGCCTTTCATGTCTGGCTTCTTCCACTTAGCATAATGTTTCTAAGGTTCATTCATGTTGTAGCATGGACTGGTACTTTATTCCTTTTTATGGCTGAATGACATTTCATTTATTGTTTCATTTGGTGATGTATATTTTGGTTGTTTCCACCTTTTGACTATTGTGAATAGTGCTGCTATGAACATTTGTGTACAAGTATTTGTTTATCTAGTTTCAATTCTGTTGGGTATATACTTAGAAGTGGAATTGCTCAGTAATGTAATTCTATGTTTAACTTTTTGAGGAAGTGCCAAACTGTTTTCCACTTGACTTCTTTAAGTATAGCTTTCTTTAGATCTCTGAACTAATTTATAATAGTTTCTTTGAAGTCTAACATCAGGGTCCTCTCAAAGAGTTTCTGTTGCCTGTTTTTTCCTCCTGTGTATGGATCATACTTTGTTTCTTTGCTTATCTTGCAATTTTTTTTTGAAAACTGTTTAGATAATATAACGCAGTAAATCTAAATACAGATTCCCCCGCTCCCGACTTGTGATTGTTTACTTGTTTAGTGACATGGCAGGACTATTTTAGTGAAGTTTATTTCCCTCACTGTATGCAACTTCTGATGTTGCTCCTTAGTGGGCATAGCCTTGGACATAAGTATTGTCACCCTGGGATGACAGTGGTATTAGCTGGGCTCTCTTTGACTATCTCTTTCTTTGATTATTCTATTACGCCTCTATTGGTATCACACCAAGCTGTTAGCCATCATTCATTGCAGATTGAATGCTCTAATGTTTTCAACAATGCCTAGGAGTATAAATTGCTCCAAAATGTCATCTAATTCACTTTGGACTCCTCTTTGGTTAGTTCCTAAGGTTTGTTCTGATCTCAAGACTCTTCTTAGATGTCTCTTTCCTGGGTTTTCTCTAGTAAACTTGTTGGCCTATGTTTAGCTTGCCTCTCACATGAAGCTATTAGCCTCTTTATAATTACTTAATATCAAAATCTCCACTGATTTTGAGAGTCCTTAGGCTTGAACTTCACCTGCCCTCTATTTCAAATAAAGTTAGTTTCTTGAGACTGTGGTATTCTTTGTTTTGCAGCTTGCCTCTCTCCCTGGAAAAACCTCTGAGCCACAATTTCAAAGCTGGGAGCAGGGATAATGATATGCTTCTCTCTGAATGACAACGCTGATTTAGGAGCAGGATGCTGGGCAATGGCCTCTGGTCTTCTTGACTTGCCTCTTCTAGGATAGAACTCTTTAGCCAAACTTATATTAGACAACTGCATAGCCTTAGATAACCTAACTGCCCAACAAAGAGGTACATGTGCTGTAACTTGTAAAAAAATGTTTACATGTAATAAATCAAGAATTATTACCCCAAATCTAAAAGATCTTAAAGATCAGATACTAATCTTTCATCAAATAGGCAACACTTCTTCTACTGATGTATTTCATTGATTAAATCTCAGCTCCTGAGATTTTTTCAATCCTTGGCTATTATTATTCTCCCTACAATCATATTAACCTCCCTAGTGCATTGTAGCCTCTCAAGAGTTTTAAATGCCTTTCAGCAACCATTCACACATCCAATATTATCTACCAGGATTAGACAACTTGAAGCATTCAGTATCTCACCGCCCATGTCCAAGATGACTAGGCAACTATAGGTAACAGTGATTACATGACCATTGATCCCAATGACTACATCGACAGTGGTAGCGAGAGTAACAATATATTTGTTCACACTCTTAGCTTGCTGAATGACCAAGAGGGAGAAGTTTTTAAAATAAAATAAAATGGAGACCAGGCTTGAAAATCCCACAAGCAAACCAAACCAGTTAGGACACATAAGTGAAACTTAATCTACTTTATTTCATGAACAAAGCAAAATTTAACAGGTTATCTCTTGTAAATACCTCTGATAATCAACTTAAATAGTCTTCCTAAAATAGTATAGGATAATCACTTTTAAGAACTCCCTGCTGTTTGTAAACTCCTATTGGAATAACTATCGTTAAAGGTTAACAACTTCCTCCTTGTCACTTTATAAACCATCCTGTAACTACCTGTCTCTGAGCTACTTATTTCTCTCTCAATGAAACATTCATATCAAGTAAAGCTCTCTGAAATTTCTTTTGACACTAGGTATCCCTCTAAGGACTTTACATATGTTAAGTTTATTACTCACTACAACTCCATGAGATAGATACTGTTATACTAATTTTATAGATCGAGAACTCGGGCACAGAAAGAGAATGCTACTCTCCCATGGCCATACAGCTGGTGAATGGCAGAACTGGCAGCTGAACCCAACAATCGCAGTCAAGAATCCGTGCTGCCTCAAAGAATCAGTATTTATCCCAGTTACAGTGACTGGGTGAAACACCGCTGTAGGCTTTTGACAGCCCCATTTAGTGTTTGTTCCACCAAGGCCTTCAGCTCCCGTCACAAACAGGCCACTGCCAGGAACTACCGGGGCGTCGAGCTGTCAAGGATGCCTGGGAATTCGGACAAGGGCAGAAAACAGAGGGGCAGCCCACTTGGACACAACTGTCCTCACCGAGGGATGACAAATCAAGAATCTAGGAAGAGAAACAGCAGCGGGACCTCTACGGAGGTCGGGGGATGGGAAGGGGGCGGAAGGGAGAGAGGCGCAGCCCCCTCTTCCCCCCAAGCAGGGGAGGTGCTGGGCCAAGGAGAAGGGGAGGTGGGGCAGGGTGGACTCACAGATCCAGGAGCTGACTGACCGGCCGCGGGTGGGGCATCGCGGCGGTTATCCAGGGCCTTTTCCGCGGTCCCAGGGCCGCCGGAACCAGCCAGAGACCGTCCTTCAACTCCCGCCCCTCACACAACGCCGTAGGACCTGGAGCATGGGTTTTTCCAGTGACTGGGGCGGGACCACGCCGGGACTGCAGAGCTAAAGAAAAGAAAACCCTCGAGGCGGAACCTCTGCGGGATTCACGGAAGGGGCTGGAGGGTGATAAAATATAGAGTAGCCCTATGCTCGCGTGAAGCACCACGGGAGTTGTAGTTCTTCCACTTAACCAGCGCCAGCTCGCGGCGGTTTCCCTGGAGATTTAGCCCCACACGCCGCCTGGCCTTGAACGTCTGAAGTCTCATATTGTTGAAGAGGCGCAGCTCTTACTACAGGGATGCATTTGATGCAAGGCTATGCATTTGGCGGTACATATCGGAGAGCCCTTTGGGTACAGACTCCATTAATTACGGGCAAACAGCATTTTAGATGACCCGGGAGTGACTGCCCTTAACAAGTACTTTCTGTGAAGCTCACACGCTGAGCTACTTGCTTTCAATAACGAACCGTATTAATTTAATCCTGTGAAGTAATTATTTAGCCTTATTTTACAGACAAGGACATTACATGTAAACAAGAAAAGCTCTAATAAGAATTTCATCATGGAAGTAGGGGTTTTATGTTCAAATCAGAAAGGATTCTACATGCCCACTGAGCACAGCCAGGAGGCTTTGGCTAGAAATAAAATGACAAAGAACTATTAAAGGGTCTTAGGCTATGCAAGTCAAAAACACAATTAGGCACTACTAATAGTGTGAAGAAGAAAGAAAAGCTGAGAGTTTTTATTTTTTATTAAAAATATTCTTTTATTAAAGTATAGTTAGCATACAATATTTGTTTCAGGTATGCAACAGAGTGATTTGACATTTATGTACCTTATGATGTGATCACCACACTAAGTCTAGTAACCATCTGTCACTGTGCAAAGTTATTACAATATTAGGCTGAGAGTTTTTATAGTAAAAAGTCACATTGTTGAGAAGAATCAGTCCTGCATTCTCAGCCTTTGGGTTGGTTCAAGATGATAATCAGCCAGATGTCAGGCAGTCTGAATGATGGATGTCAAGTGGTCTGGAGTTGTGAACATTCTTTCATAAGTTCTTCAAAGGGTTATCAAAGGGTTATCTATAGGGTTTATTTATACTGTGGATGAAAAAGGGGCCACATACTAAAACTGACAAGATCAGGGGAGGCCTTCATGGTGGGCCTTACAAACCTAGAGGCTTAAGGTAATCACGTGGTGCTATGAAAGTAAAAATTCCTAAAAGCAGATCATGGTGGGTAGACATGCCCTAGGCCTGTAGCTGCCTTAATAAAGGTCAATCTTCACCTTTGAAATTGTCTGTTATCTTTATGCATCTAAGATAACATACCTTTGAATGTCAAAGTAATTTTCTTTTTCAGGCCCCTTAAAGGCACAACCATGGGCACCAGAGCACAAAATCCATCATTGTTGACTTGTTGTCCACATACTATCTGTATGTGCTGTAAATGTTAACTATCCTATACCCACCAATGTAAAACAAGTATGTGTCCTCTCAGTTTGCATTTTATCCAGTCTCAGAGATTTCCCCGCTTTGCTTTCCCCTGCCTCCTTAATCTATCACCTATGAATTTCATGTAACCTTTCCTACGTTTTTTCCTTTAATTCTAATGTACAAAAGAAGCTGCAAAACTGCCATTCTCTGGAGCATTTTCTGAATCTGTTGAGATTTTGCTTCCTGGTAATTGTCAGTTTGGCTCAAATAAAATCTTATAAGACTTTTTCTTAGGCTGGATGTTCTTTTGTCAACTATATATATATGTATCTTTTGTCAATATATTTGTATATTTATATATATCTCCAGGCACAAGTGAGAAAGTTCAAAAGTTTAAGTTCTCAGGCTAGTTAAAGCAAAATAAGAACCACTTAGGTCACGCCTCAGCCTACTTGATTTTAAAATTTAGCAAATTGACCATAGTGACTCCATTTTATTTCTTCACTCTGTTCTAAAGAAAGGACTTTTTCCCAGGGGGAATTATTTCTCCTTGAATATGTTGCAGAGTATGTGCTACTTTTTAGTGCTTTTTTTTTTCTTCCTTATAGGTTAATTTGTTGTTTATATTGCTGTCTTCCCTTTTTAAGTTCTTGAAAATTGGAACCCAGGTTTGTTCATCTTTTCAGGATGCTGCTCATTCATCAACACAAATTTATCAAGCACTGAAGAAGGACAGGGATTGTGCTGGGTGCTGAGGATTCAGTGGTGAACACTTGCGCCATACGAGTAAAAGGACAATCAGAATAACTGTTAAATGCTTAAATGGAGTTAGTTCTGTGAGAGCTCCCATGGAGGGGTGGGCGGAGCAGGTCAAAGAGAAAAGAGTGGCCTCTTAGGGACTTCAAGTAGTTCACGATGGCTACAATAGAGAGTGATGAGCAATGAGTATAGAGCAGAGATCGGCAGACTTTTCTGTAAAGGGCCAGGTAGTAAATATCTTAGGTTTTGTGGGCCATACTGGCTTAGTCATGACTACCAATTTGTATCTCAAAAGCAGCTATAGACAATAGGGCTGTATTCTAGTAAAACTCCATTTATGGACACAGAGATTGAATTTTATAGTTTTCAGTGTCATGAAATATTTATCTTTTGAGTTCTTTCAACCATTTAAAGATGTAAAAATCTTAAATTGTATAAAAACAGGCAGCAGGCTGGATTTGGCTGGCTGGGGATTTGCTCTCTCCTCATCTAGAACGCTAAAATGAGGCCTTATGGCCTGTGTTATGTTTTACAGATTAGGCTTTGTCTGGAGGACTTTGGGCAGAGTCATAAATAGGTTTCAAGCAAAGACAGTACATGCATTGGAAAGATGAGTTTTAGAAAGAACTCTGAAGCTGGTAAGTGGTTAATGAATTGTAGACGTCACAGGTGGAGGCTCTGAGACCTGATGGGAGTCTTTTGATGATATCTTAAGCTAAAATAATAGTAGTGGAATGGACAGACAGATTCAAGAGGTAATGGAGGTAGGAGTGATAGCATTTAGAAATTGATTAGGGTTGGGGTAGTGGAAAGTGAAGAGTAAAGGCTAATTTCTAGGCTTTGTGTTTGGAGAATCGGGTTGGCATATGGTGCTGCCATTTATTGAGCTAAGAGGCTTAGAGGAATTTTTGGAAGAGGAGGAGATTATTTAAATTTCAAACATGTGGCTTTTGAGGTGTCTATGGAAAATATAGGTTTGGAGCTATAAATTGGGAAATTGTGCTCATTTGCTGTTAAAGAAAAAGTCAAATAGCAGTGACAGCATATGCATTTACTTCCAAATAGAGTAATTTCTTACAAGAATCCTCTGTTGCTCCGTGAGCTAATTAAACCTTGGAAGACCATGGAAGATCTTGACAGAGCAGATAAGGACAGAACTTCATGGTTCTTCCTATCTGTTGAATGCTGCACAGCTGCCCATCTAGGCCTTTTCATTGGTTACTTGATTTTTCAAGACCAAGAAAATGCAGGTCCCTGCCCCAGTATTGTAAAGTGTTCAGCTTTGGGTGCCTGCATTCTTCTACTTAGTCAAAAAAGTAATCACAGCTGGGTTTTTTTTTTTTTCTTTTTCTCTTTTAAGAAAATGTCAATTACATAACAAGCTAAGTCCTAGTTATTTCTAGCCAATTATTCTAAAAGTCAAAGATGTGTAAGCCCTCATGAGATCGCAATTGTTAGAACTATTTTACAATGATTTCCTGTAGATTTTAGGGCCTGCACTAGCTACAAACCAGCTTTTCAGATGCTTAGGATGCTTGTATCAAGAATTTATTTTGAGTTTCTTGCCACCGAATAAGAGAGATCTGATGTACGTTGTGGTTGCCTTGACATATTCATTTCATCCCTTATTTTATAGCTGCCACATGGGTTGGGGAGCTGACCTCATCTTCAGAAGTGGGTCTAGATTAAGGTAATCAGTGACTACCACAGTGACTGATTAAGGGATTGGCAGGTCTCAAGCTATCAAGAAATCACTATATTTTCTCAGCCACAGGGATGGGTCCAAGAATAGGCATGTGGGCATGTGATTCGTTTGGAAACAATAAGAAGCAGGAAAAGTTTTGCTGAAGATTTGTAGGAGAGAATTTTCCTCAAATTTATGACTATGTTTTGTTAAGCAGCACTCTTTTCTTGGCATTGTCATGTTTAGTGAAATTAAACAGAGGAAGACAGAGTAAAAGAATCACAGGAAAACCGTCAGGTTTCCTGATTGAACTATGCTTGAACAGTATCCCTTCTCTCTGCTGTCAAATGATAAAAGTAAAACGATTTAGCTGATGTGGCACCCTGGACAGGACTGGCTCCATCATGGGCTTAGAAACTTATTCCAACACTACCTTCTGTTACAAAATTCAGTTAATGCCCTCTGTTGTTGATAAAATCAGTGGAGTTGAATTTTCTGTATCTTGCTATCAAAAACACCTTGTATATTCATAGTAGGAGTAACCAGCATATAGATTGAAGATATAGGAATAGATGAATGTAACAGGTGTATCTAAAGTGAGAACAACAATAAGTCTTTGGAGAGAGAGCTGAGGAATAGCAATTGGCTGGTAACTGACAATGTGAAGCAGTGCTTAAAGGGATAGGAGAAAGGTAGTAGGGTGCTACAGAATATAAACATGATCAAAATTGTTACAAGATTATACTTGAAGGTGATTTAGCAACAAGAAGGTCATTGATGGCCATTGAGGTGGTGGTAGAGGATGCAGTCTGATTGTACTAGGAAGAATGAATGGGAAGTGAAAAAATGAACACAAAACTAGCCCAACTCTCACAATTAATACTTGTGAGAAGTATTAGAATTTTTTATTTGGAAAAGCTCTTACTTTCATCTGTCAAATAAATTGCTGCTTCTATTTAGACTCTTGCCAAGAAGAAAAGTAGATTGTACGAGGGCATAGTTCTACTTCAAAAAAGTAAAACGGGCTTCTATTTAGACTCTTGTCAAGAAGAAAAGTAGATTGTATGAGGGCATAGTTCTACTTCAAAAAAGTAAAACGGGACAACTCAGAATTATTATTTATGAAACTTCTAGATGTCGAATGTGGTAAATACTTATGTAATCATCAACCATGAGGTATCATGCTATTTTACAGATGAAGGTAAAAGCTTTTCCAAATAAAAAGTTCTGTCAGACTCATTTGGG